TTTTCTAAGTATTTGTCCATTTCCTCTAGATTTTCATATTTGTTTGAGTATAGTTTTTCATAGTATTCTGATGGGCACTGACTTCTGAATTCTACCTGGGGACCTATGGTTTTCTGTCAGAACACACTTATTTCAAGAAAAAAATCTCTTACGATGCCTTAGTGGGGAGGAGGCTTATGAGCTGAGTCCAGGGATGTTTCTTGAACTCCAGGAGAATGTCAGCAGTGCCTCAGTTATGTCGTGGTTGGGTGCCATCCACTTGACTGTCTCTCACGGCAACCCGACGAACAACAGACCTGACCTGTTCCCTGGCCTGCACATCTCTGCAGTCTCTGTCATTCTCAGCCACTGTGGAAGTCACCACATCACTCCGTCTCATCGAGGCTCTTCCTCTCCGTCACTGACCCTCTACCTTTCCCAGCCTGACAACTTGCCCCAGCTAAGTGAGGTGTAGTTTCACCATCTTGGTCTCTCTGGAGCATCTAGTTGCACTTTCTTCAAGACAAATCTCTGAGTTCTTTTGGCGATCTGTGGGATAGGCTGTACTCTTTGCCAACACTACAGTTCAAAGGCATCAGTTTTTCTTCTGTCTTCCAACTTTCCGATGCATAAGAAGCAATTGAAAATGCCTCAGTTTGGATCAGGCATGCGTACCTTGGTCTTTAAACTGACATCCTTCCTCTTTAGAACTTTGGAGAGATCTTGACAGCCGATTTCCCCAAGGCAACATATCTTTTGATTTCTTGACTGCTGAAACCATGGATGTTGATTGTGGAGCTGAAGAAAATGAAATAATTTAGAACAAGTGCCTGAGAGAAGGACTGAAGTGAAGAGGCATGTCTAGTTCCTGTTCCTCACTGTCCGGAGGTTTTGGGGGGAGATAGGTGCCTCCTCCTCTGGAGATTGCAAAGCCTTCAAGCTGTGGTGCTGGAGAAGAGTATTGAACATACCATGGATTATCAAGAGAACAAACACATCCGTCTTGAAGAGAATGAAACCAGGCTGCTCATTGGAGGTTAGGATTTGGGGCATGTTGCCCGGAGGCACCAGTCCTTGGAGAAGGACATCATACTTGGAAGGGTGGAGGGACAGAGCGGGAGAGGAACCCCCCGGATGAGATGGATTGACATGGTAATTGGGGTAAGTGTGTCAGAGTCAGTGAGACTGGCTCAGGGCAGGGCAGGGTTCGGAGATACTGTGCAAAAGATCGCTATGAGTCACAGGCGACTCGATGGCACATAACAACAGCACAACTGTAACAGAAATACCACCAGATGCCTTAAATCAACAGCAGTTCTATTGTCACAGCGCAGGTTGGCTGTTTTCACTGCAGCCTCTGTAGGGAGGGGAGACTTCCTCTCTTTACTGCTCACAGGATGGAGGTCCTTGTCCCCTTTCACCGTGTGGCACTTGGAGAGTCCCGCGTGTAGGAAGGAGGAAGGCTCTCGTGTAAAACGAAAGGTGATAAAGGTGATCCAAGCCACGCGTTATGAAATCTGCCCAATGACCGGGCCTGAGGCCTAAAGAGAGAGTGACATCCCACCAACACTGTGTGTGTTGACAGTAGAGGCGTTCGCTGTGTGCCCACCACACGGTGTGAACAAAACGGGGAAGAGTGCGAGTTCCTGAGCACCCACGAAGCCAGGCTTTGCTGTGACGCGGCTGCACGGTCGATGCCCACGGAGGCTGCGGGCAGGGTGCTGCGGGCAGGCTGCGTTCTCCTTCTTGTACCTAAAGTCCTCGTGCCTGGGAGCCAACCCAACAGCACTAGCATCGACGACTTAGGTGTGCGACCAAGAGGGCCCAGGTCCTGGGAAAGGTCAGCTGTGATAGAGGAGAGGCTGAGAACGAAAGGGGGAGGCCCTCAAGGACGTCGGGCCCAGCCAGCAGCTACTGAGAGGATGTGGGAGGATGAGGAAGGCTGGACTGCTGCTTCCTGTGGGACACGGCGTTGCGATGAGTTGGATCTGATTCATCGGCTCCAGACAACAACAGCACGTGTAACAGGTGTGCTCAGGGGCGTGACGGGTCATGTCCGCTTACAAGGGTCAAGGCGCCCCTCGCTGACCCTGCACCGTTTGATGGAGAGGCTGGGACTCACAGCACCTTGTAGAAGTGAGGAGAATGCGCATCGTTGCTCCAAAGAAAGGTTTTGTTTCTGTCACAGCCCGAGACCTCCATAACGCCCTCCTTCCTCCCTGTTGTTACCGTTTCCATCCATCCTTCTCGTCCATCCTATGCCCTCCCGCCTTCTCTGTCCTTGGGCTCTTCTGACGTCGGATGATCTACGGAGTGTACATGTCCCTGGAGGGGATGCTCACCTTTCACACAGGTGAATGGCGCTTGCTTGCTGTTCACTCGCCAGTTGTTTGGCTGAAAAGTGAGCCGTGGGCGATGAGTACAGTTTGAGGCCTGAAGTGCGATGAAGGCCATCGTTTCAGAGATGCGCGCGTCTCCGTCTGACTGGTAGCCTGGGACACAGGGTTCTTAGGAAGGCGGGAAAGAGGATTTAGGACAACACAAAGAAAACAAAATTTCTCACAACTGGACCAGTAAATGAGCTACAAGGAAGACCTTGTCAAGGGTGCAACTTTTCTTGAATTCACAATCGTAGAAGCAGCAGTGAAGGAATCAAGCGACATATTGCAGTGGCCAGATCTGCAAATTCGTTTGCGGATTAGGTGCGCCTGAGCCAAGCTGTGGCGTTTGTATTTGCTTCCTCTGAATGTGAAAGTGGGACAGTGAGTGAGAAAGCGTGGAGAAGAAGGGGTGCCCTTGAACTGTGGTGCTTTCAGAGTCCTGGTCTCACATGGGCCACCCCAAAACAGCTGTGTTTCCCTTGGACAATCTGCAGCCAGAGTGCCCCTTCCAGACAAGAATGGGTCCCCATCCCTTGCACTTTCGGGGCATGTTATTAGAAGGACCTAGTTCCTGGAAAAGTGGACGGTCAGTGAAAAGAGCGGAAGACCCTGGACGGAATGGATTGACACAGTGACCGCAGCAAGGGGCTCGGGCTGCACAGAGGCCCCGAAGACAGGAAGGGACCACAGCAAGGGGCTTGGGGCCCGACCCCACAGAGACCGCGTGGACGCGGGAGGACCGGGCAGGGCTCTGTGCCGGGTTGTCGACGCGCTCCAGAGATAACCTGGTGACGTCTAACAGATGAGTCATTTTTTAAAAATGAACATTTATCCAGACCTGTTGTTACTGTGAACCATCGAGTCAGAACTGGCCCCTAGCTGACCCTCCAGTGAGTTTCCAAGGCAGCAAATTGCACGGAAGGAGACTGCCCATCTTTGGCCTGTGCAGCAGCTGGATTCGAACTGTGTACTTTTGGGTTGGCAGGGCAATTCCTTACCATCAAGCCATCTAGACCCCGGGCAGTCATTTTCAATCATGTGCAGTCTTGGACTCTCCACACACACCTCCATGGGTTTCAAGATGTAACACCTTGACGTGCACGTCGGCACAAGGAACAGCCGCCCTTCAAGTGGAAACCTCACTGTTGGCAGACGTTTAGAAGCTGGAGGGAAGTCCTTCTGTTTCTTAGGGGTTGATCTTTCACAGGGCACCGCTGGTGTGAGTTAGTACAAGGGACCCTTTTAAAAGAAATTTTATTCTTGGTGAAGTAGAAAGTAAAAAGAAAAAAGAAAAAAGGCAAACACTCAACACAAGAGACTGACAGACACGGTGGGTGCCGCGGGGCCTTCACACGCGGTGACTGCGGACCCCTCAGACATTTAGAATGTTTTCATTTGTGTAAAGGGTCACCAGGAAGGGAACCAGCTCGGGGGCACCTGGCAGCAACGAGGACTGCCTCTGTGGGAACACCTGGCCGTATGCAGGGGTTTTGTTTGGAACAAGACACTTCCCAGAGAAGTGCAGCAAGTCAGGGCCTCAGTGCTGTCTGTGAAGCTGGGGGCTCTCCTCGGAGCTGTGCCCACAGCCCTGACTCACCCTTGATGGGCAGCAGGAACTGTCTTTTTTACTCCTTCTTCTATGGTTTTTCCTCACCAGCTTGCTTCTATCAGCCTAGTTTCCAACTCCCTGGTCAGTGCATTTGAATCGTGGCGTTGGCAAGGACCACTGGTCTACGCCGACTGGCAGAGGAGTGAACAGGGTGGTGTCGCAGACCTGCTACCGGGACTCTTGTTTGGGAGGGAGGTTGGAGGACCGTGGGCACGTGGGCTTTGGACATGCTGTCAGGAGAGCCCAGAGCAGTTGGCCGAGGGTCTGACAGGGAAATGCTGCCGTCCTCGGACAGTGAGCCCGTGCGGAGCTGCGGCGTTGGTCCACCTTGCAGAGGGTCTTCCTCTGTTGGCTGACCCTCTGGTTACTGGCCATGAAGCCCTTCTCCGGAGGTGGGGCTCCCTCAGAGCAGGCGAGACAGCCTGGGCCTTCTACTGAGGGGCATTCCGGGCACTTGTCCTGAGACACGCTGCTTCCGGCCGTCCATGCCATAGTCACTGGCTTGGCCATCTCCACAGAGCAGAGGCATCAGTCTGTGTGTAGCAGGGTGCTGTGCCACCCATGGTGTTCCCCGAATTTCCCTCGTGGGCTGAGGCCCCTGCAATGCTTCTTGAACGTGCCCCGCGGCTCAGGCGTGGTCTTGTACTGCTTGCTTCCTTCTCCTGCACAGCAAAGAAATCAAGAAGCTGCAGGAGGAGCAGAACGAGGTCACCCTGCTGCTGAATATCATCAGATCCTCCAAGAACTTGGACCTGAACGAGAAGAACTCTGCGGAGGTGCAGTTCCTGCTGCAAACCAAGGAGGACTACGAGTCTCTGATCCATTCCATGCGGCAGCTGCTGGCGGAGCTGGACGAGAAGGTACAGCCTCGCCCCGCTCTCTCCTTCCTCGACTTCTCCAGGGGACCTGAGCGCACATTTACAAGACAAATGGGTCTTCCCCCCCACCCCCGAGTTCAGCCACGTTCTGTTCTGTGACCCTGGTTTTAACCTCCATGCGACAGCCGCACTCAACCCCGTCCCTCCCTGTGTGTCCTGTTTCGGTTGATCCTTTTCTTTCCCTTCCGCCTTTCTGCCTCTCAGAATTGACCAGGACCGCATTAAATGTCCCCCTCTCCCAGAGCCTGGTGTCATTGCATGTGGAAATAGTCTCATTGCGTATGGAAGTGTCATAGCCTTGCACCCTGGAAAAATGCTCTGCTGGCAAATAGTGTGTGTGTATATTTTTATATATATATATATACAAACACACACACATACACACATATATACACACATACATATATATACACCCCCCACATACATATATTGTTTTCAGTATAAACTAAAATGTCATTACCATTAAGTCATAACCAGCTTAGAGCTGACTGTGCCGGGGTCCAGGCTGGAAATTCCACGGGAAGAGATTTCCCACCTTCCTTCCCTGTCGTTGCTGAAGGATTTGAGTTGCTAGAGGGGTGCTGCCTGTGGTTGGAAGAAAGCTCTCCACGAACTACGTTACCAGACAATAAAGAAGTGGGGTTTTATTACTATTTTTTGTGTGTGTGTGCGTGTACCATCAAATCAGATCTGACTGGTACAGGAGGAGATTGTCCCTCCTTCCCCGGCAGAGCATCTGGTGGATTCGAACGGCATATCTCTGGGATTTCAGTGCAACTTCTTGCCACTAGGCCACCAGAGCTCCCCTGAGACAATAAAGAAGTGTTTTTACTGATTAAACGAAGGCGGCCGTGCTGGCCGCTAACCCACAGGTCGGCAGTTCAAACCCACAGCTGCTCTGTGAAGAGGAATGAGCAGTTTCATCCTGTTAAGATTTGCACCCTTGGAAATGGGATGGAGGGTCGCCATGCTCCGTGAGCAGGATTCCACTTGGCCGCTGAGTGGACCGTGAGCAAAGGGGCAGGAATCACTGAAACCCAGGGGGACGTTTAGGGGACCGTGTCAGTGGGGGACACAGCGAGGGCAGAAGTAACAAGGTTGACACGTTGGAGAATTGTGGAGTGGTCGCAGGTTTTGATATATGTATTTTCATACAGAAAAGATTAGCTTTAAAAATCTAAACCACGGAAGCATATCTGTCCATCTGCATGTACGGTTGTTAGGTGCCGTTGGGTTGACTCTCGCGAGCCTGGGCAGCAGATGGACGCCCTGCACCAGCCTCACCCCTGCTGTCCTCAGCCCCCGACTGCGGCTGCTGTGTCCGCCATCCCACTGACACCTCCCTCGTGGCTCCTCCCCCTTTCCTGGCCTGATGTCCTGCTCTGACGACTGACCCCCCCCCCCCCCCCCCCCCCCCGACAACATGGCCAAAGGACCTGAGACGGTCTCACCATCCTGTCTCTCGGGAGCACCACCCTCCCGAGCATGACGTCCCTCTCCACGGACCAGTCCCTACTTAAAACATGTCCAAAGGATGTCCGATGAAGCCTCAGAATCCTTGACTCCAAGGAGCAGCCTCCTGGACGAACCTGTTCATTCTCCTACCAGTCCATGGTATATTCAACACTCTTCTCCAGCACCAAAGCTCAAAGGCATCAATTCTCCTTCTATCCTCCCTAGTCATTGTCCAACTCTCTGATGCATAACAAGTGATTGCAAAGACCATGGCCTGTATCAGGCGCACCTTAGTCTCCAGACTAACAGCTTTGCTCTTCAAAGCAAAGGTCTCTGACAGCAGACTTTCCCAATGCAATTCATCTTCTTATTTCCTGGCTGCTGGTACCGAGAGTATTGATTGTAGAGCCAAGCAAACTAAAGCTTTTAACCATCTCAATCTCTTCACCATCTGTCACGATGCTGCCAGTTGGCCCGGTGGTGAGCATCTTTGTTTTCTTGATGTTGAGCTTTAATCTGTATTGAAGGCTGCAGTCCTTGACCTTCAGGTCCTCCTCAGTTTCAGCAAGCAGGGTTGTGTCATGTGCATAACGCAGATTGTTGATGAATCTTCCTCCAGTCCTGATGCCACACTTCTCATCACAGAGCCCAGCCTCCTGGATAATCTGTTCTGCATATAGATGGAAAATGCATGGAGATAGGACGCATCCCTCATGTACACCCTTCCCCATTTTGAACCGTGCAGTGTTTCCTTGCTCTGTTCTGATGACTGCCTCCTGGTCCAAGTATAGGAAGTGGAAACAACACTTTAGTAATTTTCGATTGCTATTCCGATAAAAGCCACACCCAAGGGCCGCCCCTTCCCCGCCCGTCCCCTCTGCGTTCTGTGCACGCTGACCTCTTGCACGTCCTCCACCTGCTGTGCTTGCTCTCACCTCCATGCTTTTGCACATGCTGTTCCCTCTGCCTGGAATGCTGTTCCTTCTCTTCTCTGTGGAGGGAACTCTGGCTCGTCCTTCAGATCTCGGCTCAGATGCCCCGACTGTGCTTCCAGAGACTTTGTGTCACGTCTCCCCTCAGGCCTCTCTTGCAGACTCTTCTTACAGCCCCGGAGAGTCGGCTTTGAGGGCAGCGGCCTCCTGGCATCAGCTGCATCTCCCTCCTTCCTGTTGTCTGACACTGAACAGGAATTTACAGCATCGATGGGGAATCAGGTCACAAACATGACAGAATGATTTATGAATGTCTGTGGATGAAGGAATGACTTGTGAAGTAATGACTGAAGAAGCAGGCAGGAAAGAAAAATGGGGTGAGACGCACGGAAACTGAAAGCTTCCATTTCCACAGAAGCATTAGGAAAAGGCAGCAGAGATTGAGGTCCTCAGAAGACTACGAGAACCACACACACACACACACACACACACACACACACACACACACACACACGACCTCAAACATATCCTGACTTAATCCAAGGACAGGCTAATTCCAGAAAGCCTCCCTCGGTGCCCCACACAGAGCCCAGAGCTCTGTCCTTGCAAGAGGTGATTGGAGGCGGAGACCTCATCAGGCCCTGCCTGTCCTTACAAAATAATTAATGAGGTGATTGGGAAACAGTGACTTGCTTAGGCAATCCATTTTGCTGCCAGCCGCAGCCTTTGATAATGTCTCCCACCAGGCAGAGGCCTAATTGCTCTCGGCATTACAAAGCCACATAGTGACGTAAAGACACCAAAGGGATTTGGACTTTGAATTTAATCACAGGAGCCACGTGGAAATGCTGATGCCACAGCCTGGTTTTGACAGGAGTCAGAGCCACGGGACACTGGGGTCAGCCAAGCATTGTGGGCATCCCTGAGAGGAGCTGGAGGACCCTGGGGTCAGCTGAGCAGGGGTGGGCATCCATGAGAGGAGTCACAGTCTGGAGACACTCCCCTTCGTGGTACCAGGAACTGTACCAGGTCACTGGTGGGCACGTCAGCGAGCTTGCCCGTGTTTGAAGAATAGGAGAAGCTCACAGAGAGGAGCAGAGACCTGGACTGGACCCCTGTGGGGATGCAGGAAGCCCTTTCATTCTGCTCTGAGGAAATGCCGGAAGCTGCATGGCTCAGATCCAAACCCTGCCCGATACCATGCATAAATGAAGTGGATTTGCCCCCTCCCAGTGTGTGTGTGGACCCATGGCTCCCAAAGGCTGGATACTTGGAGGTGCCCTCTTGTTTGGTTGTGAGGAACAGACTCCCTGACGGAAAGCAGCTGTAGTGCAGTAAGTTACACACTGGACTTCCAACAGAAAGGTCGCTGGTTTGAATCCACCAACCACTTTGTCAGAGGAAGGTGGATCTACAAACACTGATGGCCTCAGGAGGCTTCTGGCCAGTTGCGCCTTGTCGTCCAAGGCCACCATGAGGTGGATGGACTTGCTGACAGGATCTCCTCCCTGATAAGGGAGGTCCCTGTCTATAGCTGGACTATCTCAGGGAAGCGCAAGCAGCTCTACGGCGACTTGGTCGTCTTCTTGACCTTGTCCATGGTCACCCCGGGGCCGCTGGAGCTCAGCTGTACCAGCCCCTCACTCACCAGCCCTGGAGAGGCAGGAGGACTCCACACTGAAGAGTCACTCTTCTGTCAGTCACCTTGGCAGATGGGCCCCGGCTTGGCCTGGCCCGGAGCACGGGCCAGCTCACGGGCAGAGGAAGGGGGAGCTGCCCTCGCCGACTGGGCATGGGCCAGGGACGCGAATCCTGCTTGCTGGTTTACCACTCCACACAGAGACCCCTGACACGGAAGAGGACGCATTGTTGCCACGGTCATAGAAGCGCCTCCAGGAATTTGCAGACAGACTCTTGGGTAACAGTGCCGTTTTGACTAGAAATCACGGCTTTATGGTAAAGTGGCATATGCAACAGGTAGATTAAACTTACGTGCATAGGTAAGCACAGAACTGCATTATCTCATTTTTACCCTAACTGGCTGCCCCGGTGTGGAGTGTGTTACGCAGACGGCTGCCAACTGGAAGGTTGGCAGTTTGAAACCACTAACTGTTCTGTGGGAACAAACAAGGCCGTCTCCTTCCATGAAGAGTCACAGCCTGGGGACCGATGGAGCGTTCTCGACAGTGGCCTGGTTTCGGGGCTCAAGTTACATCCAAGGGAACAGGAATCCAAGGAAGAAATGAGACGTTCACATTTAGGAAAGGGACGAACATTGTAGTTTCTGGTTTTAACACACTCGTCTTTGTGGATGGCAGAAGGGAGCCCTTACAGATGCTAACACAGCTGCCTTCTCTCTCTCTTTGCAGATTGCTCAGATGGAAAAAAAAATTACAGCCCAAAAGCAGGTCTTCAGCAAAATGCAGAAGGCCAATAACCCCCAGAAACTGCAGAAGCAGGTCCACACCTTGGAAACCCGTTTGAATCTTGTACGTATTGGTGCTCCCTGCAGCTTGGCAGACAGCTTGGTGCGTGTGTGTGTGTGTGTGTGTACACGTGTGTGAACCGCGATGATGGGAAGGTTCCCTGCAGCTTGGCAGACAGCTTGGCGCACGTGCGTGTGTGTGTGAACCATGATGTCATCCAGTCACTGCACTGGTTGACTCAGGAAAGCGTGGACCAGCGGTATGCACAGAGACCAGGCGGCCCACCGGAGACCTCTGGTGTAGTGGGGTGCAGGTTGGGCTGCGTGTTCGTTGTCTAGCAACCCCACAAGCACACGGCTTAAACAAGCACATGGCCTCTGTTACTGTTAAGGGGCCGAGAAGTCCACATTCTGAGTTCTGAGAGGAGGGCCCGGCTCCCTCTCCGTGGGTTCCCTCTGGGCGTTGGAGACTCCACACCTCTTCCTTCCCTGTGTACAGGAGCTTCCCCGTGGAGGGGTGCGATGCCACTCCTGCGGGTTCTGCCTCGGTGGTCCTGCCTCTGCTTGCTCCCTCCTCTTACATCTCCTGTGAGATGGGGCCCAGGGCACGGGGAGTCCCCCAGCTGTGGGATCAGAGCTGTGACGGGATTGAGGGGTGCAGCACTTAGCCCTCAGTAACTGTTGGGTTGCTCAGCTCATCACATTATTAGCTTCCACATTATACTGTCACACACGTGTCATGACACAGTCCAACCCACGAAGGGCTGCTCACCAAAACTCAGCCATCCAAACCCACGCAGAGCAGGACAGGCCGGTCTGCGCCCGCGAGGACACAGCCCCTCGGAGCAGGAGGCGGGCCCCTGGGGGACGAGTGGACAGCGTGGCGGTGGTCTGGATTGCTCTGTCCTCCATTGTCTGGCAGCCTTTCCTTCTCCTTGCTCTCCAGACATGTACTGTCACCCCGACTGTCCCGGGCCCCCAAACAGCTCGCTGAGAAGAAGCAGCCCAGTCACCATCCCTGGGCAGGCTCCGCTGCCCCCCTCTCCCGGGACCCCGTGCCTCCCCTGCTCCAGCAGTGCCTGGCTGTCTCTAGGAAATAGTAGACTTACACGCGTGTCTGGAGTGGCCATTCCCAATCATCCTCGATCCACAGTGACTTCTGCATCGAGCAGGAGTCTAGAAACTGCAGTTGGTGTGAGCGAAAGAAGAAGTTTGGAATCTATCACTTACTGAACTGAAAAACGTCTGGGCAGGAAATGGAGCTTTCAGGCTTAGCTGGACGCAGGTGCACCAGGTGTGTCTCTTGAGGCACCTGTTGTGGTCGCTTCTCCTCCGGGAAGGTTCCATTCTTGTGGCATCAGCTCTTCTCGGCATCCAGCTGTATCTCAGAATGCTGAGGGTACATGTGCTGAAACACAGATTTCTAGGTCCCTTCTGGAGCCACCGGATCAGAACCTCCAGGGCTGGACCTGCACTGCAGTTAGTTCCCCCAGTGAGGACCAGGGTCCGTCTTGGAAGTGTAGTGTGATGCTTGCTTGCATGTCCTGAGGCTCAATGAATGTGCTCAACCACCATCCGCTGGCCCAGTAAGCGAGTGAGTGACTGATGATTGTTGACGTTCCCTAAGCCATCGTTGTGAGAGATCACCATGTTTCTGTTACCTGCTGCTGCTGCTGGGCTCGAACTGCCAACCTTTTGAATAGCAGCTATGCCTAGAGAGCTCTGGTGGCCTAGTGGGGAGAAACCGTGCTGCAGTCCCAAAGGCACGGGGTTCTAATCTACCAGGTGCTCCACAGGAGGCCAGGCAATCTCTCCCTTGTGATTTATGACCTTTGAAAACTCGCTGGAGGGCCAGCTCGGAGTCAGTTCCTACTCGATGTTACACAGCAATGCTTCTCACCCTAGTCTTAGCCTTGCAGAAACCTAACGTGTCTCACAGCATAGCTTGAAATCCTCTGATAAAATATCATCCCTTGAAGTGAGGAACTTTTTTGGGAGGACAGTTAGTTCTTTCTGGTGTCTGAGAACACTTCACCTTAAATTTTTTATTAAGTTTATTAAGACATTCAGCAAAGTAGACAGAATAAAGCAACGAACACCCACGTGCTCGTTATTAAAATGGAGCAATTGTTAAATGTTTTTCTATTTTTGGATCATTCCCTCCGTGGCCTCCACTCAACCAAAGGTATTTTAAGGTAAATTACAGTTATTTCACCTAATCCTTCAATTTTCAGTTAAAAAAGAAGACATTTTCTTTTTTTAACCACAAGACCTTACAAAATCAACACCGCGGCCTGTCATCTAGGTCACTGTCCAGTTCGATAAGATGCTGACCTCGAACGCGCAGCTCCGGGAGAAGATCGAGGACCTCCGATTTGAGAAGGCCGCTTACGACCATGTCTACCAGCAGCTGCGCCAGCGCCTGCTCCTGCAGAAGAAAACCATGAACGTGGCCGTCGAGCAGTCTGCGCAGGCCTATGAGCAGAGGTGGGGGAGG